TCTATTGATTAGGATACAAAAACATTAGGTGAAAATTTAGAATAAATCAATATACATATAATATGTAATTTAATTTGGGGTGTGGAAATCCGATTAACCAGACCGTATGGGGTGTTTTTCGAACCGAGTCGGTTTTCGGTTCAAGCAATATTTTGATCTAAAACCGAACCAGAATGTCGTATGAGCTAGTTTCTACCCAAACCGATAATTCGGTTCGAAAACCAGTTAACCGGTTTTATACAAAATCGAAGAACTAACTCTACAACAAAACTTATTTACTACCTTCGATTATTTCAACTTTAATACATATCCTCACAACAAGAATCAACAAATTTAACCAAAATTTTAACACTGCAAAATAATCTCAACTTTCTTCCCAATCTTTTAACACTGTTCTCCTTAATATTTTAACTTCCCAATTGCATTTACAAGACTAGAATCATAGATTCATTAAGGAAAAACCAAAGAAAATTAAAAACTTACAAAAACTAAGAAACTCATTTGCTATAGATCTACGGATTAAAGAAAATGGGAGATGAGAGTGGGTTGGTTAAGTCTAGGTGAATAGATGTGTGGAAGAGAGGCTTGCAGTTGCGTGTTGCGGATGGCAGTGGGAAGCTTGTTGCCGATGAAGGTGTAAGTGGTTTCCTGGTATCGCAATCAACCTACAAAGGCTTCGATCTGGACTGGCCACACGTCGTTGGCAACCAAACATAGCTTAACATCTGTATTTGAAATGTGGAATAATGATTTTTTATATTTCTTAGAGATATTTTACAAGGCGTTAGAAAGAGGGCGAGAAAAAGGGTGTTTGGAATGGTAGGAGAAGAAGCAGTAAACATAAGTGGGGACCAACTGGGGAAGGTGAGAGTGGTGGGGTATCAATAATGCTACATTTACACAAGTACTTACACCATTTATTTTACTCCATGATGTGGCATCCTATGTGTACTTACACCATTTATTTTACTCCATGATGTGGCATCCTATGTGGCATATGCCACCTCAGCTGCCACATCATCAAGATACCACGTCACTTCTCTCCAAATTAAAAAAAAAAAATCTGCAGAAAACCCAAAATTTCAACAACAATGCTACGGACACCGGCGTTTTTACACCGAAATTTTGTATCGACTTACGTATATACTACTCAGACCAATCAACGCATTTTACGTTATTAAATTTTTTCTAATGAACGGCAGTCCATAACATATGGACGGCCGTTCACTAACATGGACTCCTGTCCATATTATATGGACGGGAGTCCATTTACTACGAACGGGCGTCCTTTAAACATAGACTCCCGTCCATATTATATGGACGGGAGTCCATTTACTACGGACAGACGTCCTTATTTAAAGGACGCCCGTCCATTGGTAAATGAAATAAAAAATTAAAAAATTAAAAAAAAAATCTGGAATGGACGCCCGTCCATTGTGTAAGGACGGTCGTCCGTATGTAATGGACGCCCGTCTATTGTGTAAGGACGGCCGTCCGTATGTAATGGACGCCCATCCATAAGGGATGGACGGCCGCGCTTTATTTTTGGATGGGCGTCCCTTCTCTAATTAAAAAGCTTCAAGTTGACTCCTCAGTTTATCAACAGCGGCATTTTTTTTCTTCAAGCTGATATTTAGCCTCTGAAACTCGCACGACGTCCAGCTTATCTGCTCGACCCATTCTACTCGTCACGTCCAGCACTAGGCATGCCACATTCTCTGCATGCTTAGACTCTTCACTTCTTTTAAATCCTCGTAATCTCTCCACCATCAGATCACTTCGAAGGAAAGCTGAAGTTGCAGAGTGAGCTGAAAATGCCAGGCCTTACAATTCGAGATTCTTGTCCCAACCTTGATGTCGAAACCACCCAAGGAAAGATGAAAATCCATGACTACGTCAGCAATGGCTGGGTCCTTCTCTTCTCTCACCCCGGTTGGTTACCTTCTGTTTTGCTTTTAATATTGGTTTCATTTGGTTATTTTAATATTGCTTTTACCTTCTTCTCTCACCCCATAAAAATTGCTAAGGAAGATAATAAACATCCCACACAGTAGCATCAAAAGGCAAATACAGGATTAATAAACCAGTTACAACAACTGGCTGTCAAAGGATCAGCCAAAAAACAAAAATCCCAACAACCCAAACAACAGCCATTTCCATACATGTCTTTTCCGCTTGGTTTCCAAACCCACCATCATATCGACCAGGCAAGAGAATACAAGTTCTAAAATGGAGGTTAACAGGCAAAGGTTTAACCAGAACAGCCGTATTCCTGCTCATCACGTCCAGCACTAACCAGAACAGCCATATTCCTGCTCGTCACGTCCAGCACTAAGCATGCCACGCTCTCTGCATGCGCATACTCTTCACTTTTTTTAAATCCTCGTAATCTCTCCACCATCAGATCACTTCCAATTCCGATTCTGGTATTCTATCTATTCACCCTCAGATCACTGAAACTCGCTTTCAAGCTCTCTCTCGGCTAAATCAAAGCAAACCCTCATTCCAAAGCTGACTCTGACTCCGTTCCTGCCTTCAGACTGGTATGACTTTGACTACCGAATCTTGGCCACCATGCCCACTTCTCTCCAATGCCTCCTTCCTTTCCCGAAAGCGCTTAAGAAGGAGTTGGCAGTTAAGAACCAAGGCAGTGAAATAGAGACAATCGGAAGAGAGTTTAGTTAGGAGTTCGAGTTCTATCCTATAAGTTGGATGAAGGGAGCAAAGGTAGTTCTCTTTGCCGTTAGTCTAGTCTTGGGTTCAGTGAATAGAGAAAGAACAGAATATTGGTCTGATGGTGAAGTACCCAGCAGAAGGTAAAGCTAGGAAAGACCACCACAAGAAGCTGAAAAAGAGAGAAACTTCTCCAATAGAGGATTCCTGATGAGTTCTCTGCAGATTTGTCCCTGGAGGATGATCTGATAGAGGAAGACTTGAAGGTTGGTGAGTTAAGCAGTCAGACCCAGGTTAAAGAAAATGAGCCAAAGTTTCAAGTTCAGTTAGGTAACTTACTTGAGAAGGTGGATTGCTTTGGATGCTTCCTGTTTAAAGTAAGGACTATGCTCCATGGAAGGCCATGAAGAAGAAGAAGTGGGGCACGTCTAAATTGTTTTGTTTAAAAAAAAACAATGGACGCCCGTCCATTGTTTTTTTTTTTTTTTTTAAAACAAAACAATTTTTTATGGACGGTCGTCCATTCCACTATGAACGACCGTCCAGCATGTATGGACAGCCGTCCGAAATCGTTGGACGACCATCCATTTATGTCAGTATTCAATCATCCAATGTGGGGGCCTTCACATGTTTTGGTGCAATTTTTCGGTGCAATTTTTCGGTGGATATAGCATTTTTCAAATTTCAAACACTAATTTCTCTAAATCAGTTTCATATCTCCTGAAACAAAGAAACCCAAAAATTTCTCCCAAAAAATCCTGCCAATTTTGAAAATCCAGCTCAATCTCTGATCACAGCTTGTTCCCACGGAATCCAACGGCCATCCAAAATCGATTTGGGGTGTTGGTTGTGTGGCTACTACTTGGGGTGTGGATTTTGTGGCTACTGCTTGGGGTGTGGGTTGTGTGGCTGCTGCTTGTGGTGTCAATTTCAGGGCTATTGCTTGGGGTGTGGGTTGTGTGGCTGCTGTCCTCGATCCCATGGAGTATGTGGGCTGTTTTATTTTAATCCTTCCCCCATTTTAGGACCCAATAGGAGTATTTTGCTAGTATCATTTGCCGGTTAAATATATATACATACTATTATTTTGCTTATATCATTTTTTGGTTAAATATATACACATACTTTTGGAATCTAATGATTGTGTAATATTTGCAACATTCATGTACGGGGAAGGATATATTATATTGCCCAATGTGATATATTTTCAGGCACAAATTTATCGTAGTTCGTTAGAAAGATGCAACTTAAGTTTTTACTTATTCTGATTTAGACTTCTGTTGTTGGTTGTGATGAAGTTGCTTGTTTGACAATTTAGGAAGCTTTGGTTTGTGAATTGGGAATAAATTTGAACATTTGTGGGGTTGGCACTTAGTGTACTTCAAGTGATGGTCTACTGTCATTTTTTGTAATGAAAGATTTTTTTTTTATACGTAGACTTGTTAAATAAGCAAGCCCCCATAACCAATCCTAGCCGGTTTACACATGGAAGAGTGCAGCCAGAAAAAAGTAGATAGCTATTCCCCAGAAATCAATGTGATTGAGGTATTCTTGTAATTGTTATCTATTTGTTTTAAGCATTAATATGATCTTAATTCCTTTAATGGTATTATTTGCACCTTTTTTTTTTTTTTTTGGTTGGGGGGTGGAATGTTATATACTAATTCTTTGCAATTATAATTTGTGTATTGTAGGGTAATGATGCACAACAAATAAGGGATAGAAGTAGTGCGAAAGATGAAGGCAAGCCTAAGCCTGGAATGTTTTTTGAATAATTTGATAAGTTTCTTCAATACTACCGGAGCTATGGAAATAAAATGGGGTTTGAAGTTACAATAAGATCTTCAAGGAAAGGAGATGATGGGGAGTTGATTTATGCGAACGTTGCCTATTGTTGTGGTGGAAAGCGAGATAGTAACTCCAAAAATATCTTTAAATTACATCCGTTGACAAAAAGTGGTTGTAAGGCTCGTAGTACTGCCTCTCGACGTTCAGTTGGTAAATGGGAAATAGTGTCAATCATCTATGAGCATAACCATGAACTCATAAGTCCTAGCAAAACAAGATTTTTCAAGAGCAATAGATTTATACAACCGCATGTGAAAAGAAAGATTGAAGTGAATGATAGAGCGGGGATTAGACCGAGTAAGAATTTCAATTCCTTTGTAGTTGAAGCTGGGGGTGTTGAGAATTTGAGTTTCTTACGAAAGGATTGTAGAAATTACATTGAAAAAGTTAGGAAGATCTGACTTGGTGATGGTGATGCTGTTGCATTACAGAAATATTTTTTGAAAATGCAAAAAGATAATCCCAATTTCTTTTACGTTATGGATTTAGATGATGATGGTCGATTGCAAAATGTTCTATGGGTGGATGCAAGAAGTAGGGCCGCATTTAGGGAATTTGGTGATGTTGTGACATTCGAGACGACATATTTAACCAACAAATATGATATGCTATTTGCTACATTTGTCGGTGTTAACCATCACGGCCAATCCACATTATTAGGCTGTGGGTTAATCTCCCACGAGGACACAGAAACTTTTGTTTGGCTTTTTAAAGTGTGGCTTGCTTGTATGGGAAATTCTACTCCTAAGGCAATAATCATAGACCAGGACAGGGCTATGCAAAATGCCGTCGAGATTGTGTTTCCCGATACAAGACATAGATGGTGTTTGTGGCATATTATGAAGAAGTTGCCGGAAAAGTTAAAAGGTTATAGGGAATATGAACATATAAAGTTTACTTTGCAAAATGTTGTGTATGATTCGTTGACATGTGAGGAGTTTGAAGAATGGTGGAATTCGTTCATTGAAAAATACAACCTGCACGGCAATGATTGGTTATCTAGTTTGTATAATGAAAGATATCGTTGGGTGTCGGCATTTGTGAAAGGTACTTTCTGGGCTGGAATGTCTACTACGCAACATAGTGAAAGCATGCATGCCCTTTTCGATGGGTACATAAATTCGAAAACGACATTAAAACAATTTGTAGAACAATATGAGAATGCATTGCGTGATAAAGTCAAAAAAGAAAATGAGGCTGATTTCAAATCGATCAAATCATCGATACCTTGTATAAGCATTTATCCTATAGAGAAACAATTTCAAGAGGCATACACTACTGCAAAATTCAAAGAGTTTCAAAAAGAGCTTGCAGGTAAGCTCCATTATGAGATATATTCTTTGAAGGATATGGAGTCCAAAGTTGAATATGTTGTGAAGGAAGATGTAATGGTTGGAGAGATATACCGTCAGGTTTCGTTTGTGGTTTGGTCTGAGAACCGTTGTTCTGAGGTTCATTGCAATTGTCGATTGTTTGAGTTTAAAGGGGTTTTATGTCGACATGCAATTCCAATGTTGATACATAATGAAATTTCTCTTATCCTTGAACAGTACATTTTAAGGCATTGGAGGAAAAATGTATTCAGATGCCACACGAAAGTTAAGGTAAGTTATAATAGTTTGAGCACTAGTGCTGAAGGTGAATGATTTGACCAATTGTCTAATTCATTTAGTGAGGTGGTAGACTTGGCATCAACTAGTGTTGATGATTGTAATATGGTGATGCAAATGATAAGTGACATGAAGAAGAAATTATTGTTGAATGACAATGTTGGGGGGATTGATAGAAGTGTTAACGTTGCATGTAAAAGCAAAATTAACTTTGATAGTGTTGATTACACTTCTGTACAAGTTAGCAATAAAATCATGACTCCACGGGCTGTTCGTTCTAAAGGTCGACCTCCATTCAAAAGAAAGCAATCGCAGGTCGAGCAAATTGTTTGGAAAAGGAAGAAATTGCTTAACCAAGTGAGTGTAACTTCTTCATCATTAATGTCTACAACTTTTTTACTAAATGTTATGAAGATGTTACGTTTATATTTAATTGTAGGGTGGGAGTTCACAAGAATCAAAAGAATCAAATGAAGCTGATGTAAATGATATTAACTTCCACAATCATGATGCAGGAGTCTATGTTTTAAGTCCGGTAAGAATCTAAGTCAGGTAAGAATCCTTTATTTTATAAGATGTTTTTGTTGTAGCTAGAACCTTGTTTTAAGGTAAAAAATTAATGTTATTGTGTTTTCACTGGTCAGGGTTATAACGACATGTCAGTAAGTTTAAGGCCATCACTTGGAGATGCAGAATAGCCTATCGTTAGTAACAATGTAGAAAATTGCTTGCAAGCAATCACAATTTTTGACTTGTATATAGGAACAATATATTATAGGAGTAGGAAAATCCTTTTTGATATGCAGCGGGTCTTTTTTGATAGCTGCTTCATGTGTATAGTCATGCAGACTATTTTTTTGCTTCGTCGCAAGGCCTGCCCTTTTTGTGCTACTGGTCTGCTTGTTTTAGGCCTCTGCGAGACTAGCTCGCTGGTATATAGGATTGTAAATCCTTGTCTTTTTGCTGCCCGAGGAGCTTGTTTGGGAGGGGTCTTAAGGGTTAGTATGGTTGGTGAGGTCGCTGGGGCTTGGGGTGTGTGTAATATGGGAGGTGTTCTGCTGTTTGGTCATTTGTTGGTGGCTTTTCTGGTTGCTGGTCTGGTTGTTTGGGCAGGTGGAGTTTGGGTTGTGGGTGATTGGGGTTGGACACTTTGGGTGATTTTATGGTTTTTTTGTGAGCCGATGTTTCTTTTTGGCTATGGATGGTTTGCTGGTCTTGGGTTTGGTTGTCCGGATATGGTGTTATGTAGGTTGGCTATTGTTGGGGGTTTCGCTGCTGCTCATGGGGTGCTTTTGTTGCTGCGACTGGGGTTGTTGCTGCTGGGGCATTTGTTTGCTACTACTAGGGTTTGTGTTGCTGTTCCTGGGTTGATCTGCTGCTGTTGTTGGAGCCTTTTTGCTGCTGGTGGTGTTCTTTTTTCTATTTTTGGGGTTGTCGTTGGTGGGGCTTTGTTTTGCTGCTGCTGGGGCTTTTGCTACTGCTCTTGGGTTGTTTTTCATTGTTACTGCTAGGGCTTTTTGTTACTACTGTTGCTGGTGGTCTTTTAGCTGCTGTTGCGAGTACTACTGTTGGGACTTTTTTTTTTTGCTGTTAGAGCCTGTTAAGGGCTGTTGTGCTTAGGTGCCCATGGCTGGTTTTTATTTTGCTCTTGGGGCTTGATTGAGTGTCTATAAGGTTGTGCATCCTCGTTTTCCCTTGTCTCTGATTGTTTGTTTCATCCCTCTCTTGTAAGTAAGGGCATGCAACTTCGTTTTTTTTTTTTTTTTTTTTTTTTTTTTTTTATCTTTTATCTTGTAGGATATTCTTTAATCTTTGTATAAAATTACAAGTTACCTAAAAAAAAAAAAGGTTATATACTAACTGACCAAAACTGTCTATTTTTGGTCCTTTTAGGTGGAAGACAACATTGGTCTACATTACCATCCATGCATAATAATATGTGCATTTATACAGATAATAACAATGTGAAATTTATACATTATCATAAAGCCTCAATTTCGTTCATTACAAGCAGTCTGGGAATAAATTACAACTAAATCATTAAAATTAGGGTAATCTCCCCTAAAGTGAAACTTGTGATAAAATGCAAGGAATACATTACAAGGGACCAAACTACACAAAAAGAAACAAAACCAAGCAAGGATATACAATCCTTATACACAAAAGCAACACAAACACAAGACAACCAAATTGAAGACTCCAGCCAGAAACTGCAGAAAATGCAGCAATCACGCTGCAGCTCCATACAAACCACTGTCCAGATCACTACTTCAATTCTAGCACACACCACCCTGCACATACTACCCAAAACTCTTGGAAACTACAGAAACAAACTGCAACCTCTCACACATGCTCAATCTGCACAATGCAAAATCTACAACATGCCTAGGCTTCATTTCCATCACCTACCAATCTGCACCAATTGCACAAAAATTATGGACTTTGCATAAAATGCAGTAATCTAAAGCAACAATGCATACACTAACAGATTAATAGAAACTATTTTCTTTGGCAAAATTGATGAAGAACATTCCCAAATGATACCATTCCCAAGCAGTCAGTATATCCACAAAAATATCAGGCCATCATGGTTGTCTCTAACCTTCTTGTGGCTATCTCTTATGCTTCGTGGGGTACAAACAAAGAAAAACTTATGAAGAGAAAAACAAGAATTGATTTTCATTAACTAAATAAAACTGATACAGAGGTAGGCTTTTATAAGACTAATTAACTCTTATTTACATTTTTATTCTAACATTCCTCCTCAAACTAAACATCTTCTAACTTTTCCAGTTTTCAGTAATGCAGCATCTTAAAACAAAAAAATCTATTCTGCATTAGCTTAACTTCTTTGCAGCAACATTCTCTGCATTAGCTAAATCTTCTCTGCAGCAACATCCTTTAATAACCAAAAATGACTTCAGCAATCTCTGTCCAACCGAAGTTCAATATGACCACGGGTTCTCCAACCATTAGACCATGTATAGGGAGCTCCAATCGTGTGAAGATGAATGAAGTTCAAAAATCAGACATTTGTTTGAAAGCACTGCAAGTGAGTTGAAGAGAACAGAATTAAAGTCCCATATAACCACAACACAATTATTTCAATTATTTCAACACAAGATGCTATGATTCGCAAGTGGGTGTTTGATATCAGAGACATTGCTTATGATACCGAGGATGTCTTGGATAAATTTATGCTCAAAATTGATCACAGAAAGACTCCGAATAGAAATCGACTGGCTCTGTTTGCTTCCATCAGGAAGTACTCGTGCCTATTTGATATAGGCAAGGAGACCCATCTGTATGGCATCGACAAGGAGATTGAATCACTTTAGAAAAGGATCATCGATCTATCTCATAAACGGGAATTTTATCGCCTTGAGGATATTGGTAATATGAGGGAAGGAAAGAGCAATAATCTTGAGAGGTTGAAAGATTTAAGAAGAGTCACTTCCTTTGTAGTTGATGGGAACATTGTTGGCTTTGAGAATGATGCTAAAATGTTGTTGGGTAAACTTCTTGAGGATGAGCCACGACGTTATGTAGTTTCCATCTTTGGCATGAGAAGTTTGGGCAAAACCACTCTCGCTAAAAACCTTTACCACAACATTGATGTCTTGAATAAATTCAAATGTCGAGCTTGGGTGTGTGTCTCTCAAGATTACAAAACTGAAGATCTTCTTCGACGAATTGTAAAGTCTTTTGAGGTCAAAATTAACGGAATGGAGTTAGAGAAGATGAGCGGGGAGGATTTGGAGAGGTGTCTTTATAAATCTTTACAAGGATGCCTATACTTGGCAGTGATCGATGATGTATGGCAGAAAGAAGCATGGGAGAGTTTGAAAAGAGCTTTTTCGAACACTACAAGAAAACTGGCATTCTGCGTCTAGCAAAATTAGATGTAGACAGTCACATTTAGACGCTAAGCCATTTGTCGCGTCTAAATTTGGTAGTCGCCCCTTAGTTGCAGTATCACTGTCGTAGATTCTTTGCGTGTCTAAATTTTTGGTTAGACGCAGAAAGTTTTTTTTTTTTTTTTTTTTTTGCGACTAGCAAATTAGTCGCTAATTGCTGGTTGAAATAGTCCCCCCACTTAGACGCTAATTGTTCAAGGGTAATTTGGAAAAATGGTATCACGACTAATCAATTAATTGCAAAATGTACCTATTAGTGTCTAATAATTTGTTGCGAATGCCACAAAAATTTGACGCTAAAGGTGTAAGGGTAATTTCATAAAAGGTTTTCATAACTATTTTATTAGTAGACGAATGTATCTTTTGGTGACCAAAATTCGGTGGTTAATTCTAATACTTTTAGACGCTGAATGTGGAATCCAAAAGGTTTTTGCGACTATTTTATTAGTGGACGAATGTATCTTTTGGTGACCAAAATTTGGTGGTTAATTCTAATAATTAGACGCTGAATGTGGAATCCAAAAGGTTTTCGCGACTATTTTATTAGTGGACGAATGTATCTTTTGGTGACAAAAAATTAGTGGTTAATTCTAATCATTTTAGACGCTGAATGTGGAATTCAAAAGGTTTTCGCGAGTATTTATTAGTGGACAAATGTATCTTTTGGTGACCAAAATTTGGTGGTTAATTCTAATAATTTTAGAAACTTAGAAATGTGAAATCCAAAAGATTTTCGTGATTATGTTAGACGCTGAATGTGGAAGCAATTATACTAAATTACTTTTTGCTACTAAAACATTAGTTGCATATGTGTTTTTTAGAGCATTTCATATGACTTCCGCGGTATGCAATTATGCTAAATGACTTTTTGTTACTAAAATATTAGTTGCAGAATGTGTGTTTTTTTAGAGCATATTCGTATTGACCTACATTATACATTCAACATCAACAAAAATGGACATAAATAAAAATCTGATCACTAAATCAAATATCATATTTCATATATATATAATCCATACATGGATTTTTATGCATGATGAGCAATAAAAATCCAAAATGCACTATCACATGTGCATAACCCAAAAGAACAGCATGCACCCACATTTTCCCACTGACTACTCTGTGCATAACTAACAAAAAATGCCCACCCCGTACACATCTAAAACATATATGCAAACAATCCTAAAAAGATGGTTCTACCCCATGTCAAAATATCTACTACCATACAACAAAAAAATAACCATCAATACCGTTAGCATGTCAAGTATCACAGTTGCGGTATTGAAATAGCTGTAGCTGATGAGGACGAGTCTTCATCAGTTGGAGATGGCAAGCGCTGTCGAGTTGGAGCTTTATCAGAGTGCTGTAGTTCAAGGGCTATAATTAGCTGCTTCATCATCTAACAGGACAAATTGTTGGTGGTTCAAGGCTTTTTATTTTCTCTTTTGTTGATCAAATAGATGAGCTGCTCCTCAACTATTAATCTTATTTTCTTGTTGTTGCACAATGCACCTTAACTCTGCTTCTGCTGCAATGGATGATGCTCAATATGTGAAAATACAAAATTCTGGTTAAATCGGAAGCTGTACGCAAAACTTCCTACATATTTCAGCTTCTGTTTTTCACTTTCCGTGCTTGTGTTTCATCTTGCAGCTCTATCATTTTTTCCTACCATCAATTGAAGTATAATCAATAAGTCAACCAACAAACTAAATAGCAACATAAAAGAATACTGCAGCACAAACAAAAATAAATTGATGGAGTACAGAAGCAAGTATCTCAAACATTATCAATCTAATACTAAAAGGCAAATTTGACATAAAGTTTTTTTATACACATATAAGCAACAAATTTACTTCACATATCCACGCATAAACATGCTAAGTAATTGGAAAGATAAGGGCTGTTGCATTTTCTTAATATCATAAAGTGATGTGGCAAGGGTGCTATGGTGATACGGACTGGAAGTTGATTAGTTCAGTAGTACTCATCAAGAAGTATAAATCTGTACATATGCATTGCCCATTTTCAAAGTGTTTTAATTCTGCAAGAGCCAAAACAAAGCCATGGTTCTCGCCATTGCTACCAGAGCTCCCAAGGACATACACTACCACACTGTAAAAACTCCACTAACATACATGATCTTTAGCAATCATGAAGCTGAATATTTTGAAAATAAAAAAAATCATTTCACAAGATGATGTGCACAATTTTAAATCAATCTGATTTAGGTGGTTTCAATCAAGTGAATCTCAATTCCATGGAGGAAGACTTCACACACAAACACACAAAATATAGAAAAAAAAAAAAATCTAATCTCATCTGTCAGTTTAGCAATACGACATTCAGATTATATATTCAGACAATATAAATATCTACATCATAAAATCTAAACTTTAAGTTCAATCCAAACAGATTATAAACCATGAAACAGGTTTTTCCTACTAGAAGAAACTCCAACTTTCAGCTTTAAAAAATACAAACTGTTAAGTTCAATCAAGAGAAACAATATAACACAAGTTAAATTTCAGCCTTATCCTGCAATGTTTGTAACATATCAATAGCAAATCACAGCAAAGTTATAAAAGTTTGGTAACACTAAAGAAAACTAAATGCCAATATCAAACAAATGCACAAGCAGCAACATAATTACAGGTGATCAAAAGATGACAGAGAAATGCAATGAGACTCAAATTAAAACAATAAAAGCATGACAGTATGGAACAGTTACAAAAAAACAATACATTTATACCCAATTAAATGGTAAGACATTTCATATATTGATAATTGAAAGACGATCAACTTACATATAGCTCTCTTGCTTGTTCATTAATCCACCCTTTCTCCGCACTCCAATGAGTGTCATGAAATAATTGTATAGGACCGACAAATTCCCCAAGTTGGTGCGCTGATAAGAGCTTGAAAGTTGATATTTTGTTAGTGATTTAATTGGATTATTTGTGGAAAAATGTGCTTAAAGTGTGGAATTCGAATTAATTCTTTCATAAATACCATTTATGGGATCACGGGTGCATTTTTAGTGTTTTAAGGCTCAAACAGATTTTTGAAGGGAAAGGAATGATGTCGATGGAATTCATGATGAGTAGGAACAAACGGTGCAAGAATCAGAGTTGAAACGACAAAGTTGTGACGCGTCGAGGATACAACATAAAATTTGGAAATTCTTCAAGATGAGCATGCTTCGCTGTTTCGATCATAACTTGAGCTGTAGTAATCAGAATTTGACAATTCTTGTGGCGTTGGAAAGCTTATTCAGAGAGATACAAAGTTTATGTTGATGACTTGACCAAATTCTGAAGATCATAGATGCCTTTGAATGGAAGAACAATCGTCGCGGCGACGGTTCTCACCGCCGCGGCGATGGAGCACGGGCTTACATTGTTAATGTGTTATCCTAATCTGAATCTGAAGGGGCTAAGACATCTACTCTTTTCCTAATTAATATCATAACCCTAGGACTATAAAAGAGAGATTTTTGAGAAGTTTTAGGAGCTTTTGGAGAGAGAGAAAAAGATGGCTACTAGTTTGGAGATCGGGATTCTTGAAGCTCTTGTTCACCGATTAGAGAAGTTTTTATATTTTTCTTTCTAGAACTCATGTCATTGAATAGAATGATGGATTTTGTTATTGTCATTATGAACTACCTCTTTTTTCTAGGGCTACAGTTGTAGCCCAATTTATGAATTTATGTTGACATTTTTATGTTGATTTTATGTTAAGTACTAATTCTAAGTTTTATTATTGTGCGTAATGCGTTCAATTCTTAAGGGCCCGAGAGTTGAATGATTTCATGGGTTGGGTTGAGATCGAGAGATGAAACCTAATTTGTCTAAGGTAATAAAACCATAGAGTGAGCGAACGCTAGAGATAGGTTACCGCGATCTGTGAGGCTCTGGTAAATTCCATAGAACGTAATGATCTCTTAGCTTCTAAATCCATCTTAGAGATATTTTGGGTTGTTGCTTAAGGGTTAATTCACTAATTGTTAGAAAGAAAGTTAGTGAAATATCAAGGAGTTTGGCCTTTAGAATAAGCTTAATTAGGTTAGCAATAACTGTCAATGCATAGGATTAAATTGGTGTGAAATCTATGCCCTAGGTTTAGCCATATTGATCTTTACTCCAAATTGTTTACAAATTCTACGTTTATTTAGTTTCCTTTAGTTGTTACTTTTCCATTAAAGTCATTCTCACAATTCTGTTTTATCAAATAGCAATAAAATATACTAGTTTGGTACTTGATAGGTAGTTCTCTTGGGATTCGACACTCGTTTACTCGAGCTTTATTACTTACACGATTTCGTACACTTGTGAATAGTCTGTCACATGCCTTAACAGTTCATATGGTCATTGACCATAAATTGAAATAAATTTAGTAAACAGGACAACAAAGTTGTATATTTGTATAGGTGAATCATATTAAATACCTTTTCCTTTTTGTGTTGGATAAAGTTCTTGGAACCACCGCGGTGGTTACACCTCATCTTCTACCAGTTCTTAGAATAAGTTTTTGACTGTGCCTAACACCAGAAAATTAGGAAATTAAAATACAATACATATATAATAACATTAAAAGCCATGTTGACCTTACTTGAAACTTTTCATTAGAAAAAAGGTCACAAAGATATATCCAATTATCGGGATCTTTAATTTCTTCTGGTCCATTCTGTAATGCTTCCTCCTTAGTAGCATATGCTTTGAATTTCTTGTGTAGGGCACTTCGGAAGCTGTTGAATCTCTTACACAATTTGTGCTTCAGCCATTTCAGTACATGGGGCTCTGTGACATCAATGTCAAACTTGGTCTAAATTCATCAATAATGTTCATGCATTAAACTTATATGCGTATTATATATTATTTTCATAAGGAAGTATGAAAATATGGATAATGATATTAAACTACATTACCGTGATACGAGCAATCATTTGTTTTTCAACATGGTAGGGAACTTTCTTCCAAGTAAGCACTCTTACGGGGGCATAGTTCCTCGTAACTATTCCTACCTCAGTACTCAACTTTGATGCATTTACTCTAGTAGGTACTCCATCTTCTTTTTGAAAGTCTACATGCAACTTTGACTGTGCTTTTTGTAGGAGTCTTTCACATCCAACTCCTCTACTCTTCCCTCTCACGTTCTTTGCCACAATATTCTCTACAAAATCAAAATAATGCATTAGCAGTAAATACTATGTTATCACAAGGATGGTTTACATGTTGGTAAAATAAAATGTATTCTTAAATTTTAAACAAACATGGTACTCGATATCTAAAATCCAAGTATATATTTCAGTATGCTTATATGGACCAATATCATAACTTTACCAGTGATTGCAGCAATTTCAGTTGTCGGTACAAGACTATGATTCTGTGGAACAACATTTGCACGTCTAGCCAGGGTCCTTCTTGTACCAGGAGCCATTGTGACCTTCTAGGTTCGCAAACAAAACATAAATTCAGTATCATAAATATGTTCTATCACAAAGACAATACTCAACCCAATCAAACCACATTCATTCATACAAAGAATATAGTACTAGTGATAATGTAAATGAGTATAAACGATCAATAAATTAATTAAATATCAATTTATGTAACTTATACCTTTTTTCTTTTTGGTTGTAGTAGCAGTGGTGCCTACACTCTTCTTAGCCTCGGTCTGCAAGTCAACTTTAAGATCCTCAAATACCTTATAAAACAAAATAATTAGGTTATAATTTTATAATTTATCAAGAATATGTCATTTTCCTTATATGAAAAGAAATACCACACTCTAAATTAAATGAATCAGCAAGCAATGGCTAAAATTAAAGTCAAAGGCAGCTTGAAAACAAGCAACAAGACTAAAAGATAAGGATGATCCGTCTATAATTCAGAGGATATGTACTTTGCACTGATCCATATTGATAATTGTAATATCACTAGTCTTTTGTTTATACAATTCAAGGTAAAATTGGATTATTATGTGAATGAAATACGGTTAATTCTTTCATCATCCCATGGTTTAGTAAACCATATGTCTAGGTGTGAATCTCTAAACTTGTGATGGTGCTTTTGTTGTAAGTAAAAATCAGTCAACCAACTTTAGCAAGACATCCTCTAAACTACATCTTTTACTTAAATAGTCATAAGAAATGTTATATCAGTTTGTATATGTAACACTATTTTTAGGCCAATAAGTTTATCTTAAGACCGAAACCATCGTATTCGATTAACATAAACGCATATAATTAACAAACAACTTAGAAAACATAATTGTTTCCCTACTAAAGTTACCATTGGCTTTTTTAAGTGCTCTTGCTAAGCTAAACTTTATAATTAATTATTAATTATACATAATAATACTTGTTCAACTTTCTAACATGAGTAATTGATACAAATACAGTGATTGATAGTTTTTAATGCAAAGTATCAAATAAAACACAGGTGGATTAATTGTAAAAGCCATTGAAACACAGTGAAATAGAGATGAAAAAATACAAAATCAAAATCAGATATCAAATGATTTTGTTGAACAACAAGTTTTGTAATTTTGGTGGGTAAAGCATAGTCCCTTTTCATTATCTCAATCGGCCCTATAGACTGACGCTAGCATCCCTAAATATTATATGCCTATAACATTACAAAAACTCCCCTTACAGTGCTGTATTACATATAGTTAAAGCCATATGAAAGAGCAATAATATTGAGAAAATACAGGGCATGCATTGAAGCCAAACTTTAGAGTATTCAAAGTGAAATTAGGAAATTATCTATCATCTAAACGCTTTAGAGTATTCTGTACACCCCTGGTACTAAACACTACTTCTAAACAGTGACAACAATTGTTATTGAAACCAATACAAAAAATGAAACAATTAATTAACTACAGAACCATCATCATCTCAAATCATTGAGGAACTAATTCCTCAACCGTCGGTATTGGCCTTCTGCTAGCTCTAAAACATTCTGCCACTAAATACTCATCTATAAACTTGCATCTATGAACTTCTTTTTCCAACCTTAATTTCCCTTTTTAATTATTGCAGCACTCAATTATTACTTACTGTATTAACATGAATTATTGCTGCCTAAAAAATGTACAATCAAGAGTAAACTGGTTTATGCGAGTACCCTGCCAAGACCCATTCACTTTCTTATGGTATGAATGGTTACGACCAATCTAGATTAGCCATCTTGGGATCCTCTTCGGAAATAATGATATGAATAATGTTATGATTTACAATTTTTTTGTTGACATAACATGTTTTGAGAACAATAGGAAGCACTTTTAGTATCACAACCGTAATAAAAACCAGAACCACTTCTCACAGCACAAGAGAGTGCAAAAAGAATATGAAATATACTAACCTACTTTACTACATTGCACAATAATGATAGATTGTGTATATATTACTTTTTGATTAGAAGTGGTTCCATATAATTGAGGCATTAATAATATTTTGGGTTATTCCAGCCCAGCGCAACTCCTTTTCACAGATTCTATTAATCTTTAGGATATAGAGACGAAGAGACAAGGTTCTATGGAAATCTTTTGTTTTGGACTTTGGGGGAAAATCTGGGAAGAAGTAATAGAAGATTTTGGCCTTGGTCACATAAAACTTTCAAAGACACTCACTTTCCAGTGCTTAAAACTGGAATAACATTGTAGATTTTGGATGGCTTTGATACTTATAGGGTAGCCATCAAGGCATTTGATTTGATTGATTAGTTCTGGAACTGTGGCCAAGTTGAAACCAGTTTCTATTAACGGTTTGTTTAACAATAAAACAGTTATATCACAGAAAGATTCACCTGCATACAATTTTGAGGACTGAACTGTAATTGGAACAAATGGAACAATATGATCACTAGGATGAAAGAAAATATGCAGTTTTGGGAACATATAATGGCTTACCCAAGAAGGAAAACATGGTCTTACGATGTCAATATTGCTTGACCTTTGAAGCGATACCAATTGGGGCAAGATGGCAACAGCTTCAAGATAGATTGAGAAACTCCACAAAATCTGTCAAAACAGGGTGGGTTTTACATAAGAAATCAAATCTATTTACTAAGTAAAAAGGTAATTTACTATGGAACTGTAGTTGAATCTTACTTTCAAGCAAAATAGATTCATAACAAAACCCAATTTAAAGGATTATATATCTACCAAATAAAAAGTTGACAAGACTATGATCAAAAGACAAATTTTACCAGATGGAAAATTAAGAATTATTTACATTATGAAGACCTCTTTCCTAAGCAAACTGAACAAACGAGAACAGTAACAAAACCTGACTTTCTGCTAGAAGTTATTAAGCAACAAAAACTTGCCTAGAATAGCAAAAATGCGATTTTTTAAATGAAACATAATGAACCTCACATAAAAAAAACCTCAGTAATACTTCAACCACATATTAAAAAAAATACCACAGAACTTCAATCTCCGTAATTCAATCCTTCAACTTCTTATCAAAAATACCAATATTGCAGTAGCAATGAAACACACCAATACTTCAACTTCTATCATCACACCACAAGACTTCAATCTTCTTATCAAACACACTAACAACTCTAAGTGAACAAAGAAAGGACGCGTATAATAAACGAAAATCAATGCAATGTCAATAAACAAAAATACATCAGCTTCTAAAAATTTGAAATCAGTTTCAATGTTACCATGTGAGAGAACTAAAGATATGAAATTTGGGTTGTGCGTTTGGGAAATTTGGGGAAAAAGCTAGGGCAAAGATGCATGGAGAAGAGATATAAAATTGACAAAAATGCTTGCTTTATATAGGTTAGGGTATTCTGTAAATAACTTAAAAAAGTAAGGGTTTTAATTAGTTGTTTAATTTTGAAATATAATTCTATTTTGCAAATAAGTCAATTTGTAACTAAAAATTTAGTCAGTAAAGAATTAGTGTTAGTTGTCTATAATTTAGGTCTGGCCGGAACAAATAATTTGGGGGGAATATGAATTTTTTAACTTAAATTGGCAACTAGATCAAATTTAGTTGCTGTATATACTTTGGGGCCCTTGTAATTATTGTCAAAATATGGGATATTTTGGTAATTTCATTTTTCTATAACTAATCATAATAGTTGCTAATAAATCCCTAATTATTCGCAACTAATTTAGCTACTAAGGGGTAGTTGCAAAAAATTGTTTTTTATAACCAAAAATGTAGATGCAAAATACAATATTTTAGATGCAAATTATCAAATTTTAGAGGGAAAAGTCACCCGGAAAAAATTGCAACTAAATTTATTAGTCACTAAAGCAACCGGTTCTGTGACTAACAAAATAGTCGCAAAAACTTAACTTTAGATGCCAAATGTTGGAACATGTGGGCCCCAAAATTTTAATCCTCTTTGCTCGACTAATGTCAATTTTGTTGGTAAATGTAGCATTCCTGCAACTATTTCTGGTTAGTTGCTAAAAAATTGGTTGCAAAATGTCAGTTTTCTTATAGTGGGATGACAACAATGGAAGCAGAGTTATAATCATTACTCGCATCAAAGAAGTAGCTGAGCGTTCGGATGAGAGAATTCATGTTCATAAACTTCGTTTTCTTAGGCCTGATGAGTCTTGGAACTTATTATGTGAGAACGCTTTTCGAAAATCAAATGCAAACGAAGAATTGGAAAAGCTAGGAAGAGAAACGGTTGAAAAATGCAGCGGTCTGCCACTAGCCATAATTGTATTAGGCGGGTTGTTGTCTACAGAGAAACCACAAGAGTGGCGCTCGATTCATGATCACTTTTGGCAACACTTAAGGAATGATTCAATTCACATACCTTCCTTATTAACTTTAAGCTTCAATGATATGCCTTATCAATTGAAGCTCTGCTTTCTCTATCTTGGGATTTTCCCTGAGGATTTCAAGTTCTTTATAGAGAAAGCAATCCGATTATTGGTAGCAGAAGGTTTCATACGAGAAGATGATGATCGAGTAATGGAAGAGGTGGCAAAAAACCACCTGGATGAGTTGATCAATAGAAGCTTGGTTCAAATTGAAAACATTTGTCGGGGGAGGGTTGAAACATGCCGAATCCATGATCTTTTGTAGGATCTTATAGTTCAAAAGGCAAAAGAGCTGAATTTCTTTCACATTTATGACGGAATTCACCATCTAACTTGCTCTACAACTCCAACATCATCAGCTCGCCGACTTGTTTTTTATTCTGAAACAAGTTCTTCGTTCCAACATTTTAATTCTCTCTCTCACGTTCCCTCTTGTTATACGATCGAGATAGGGACTCTTTTAGGCAAACTGTTAAGGTGATGGCTTTATACGGTGATGTTTTATCATTAAGTGAGACGACGCCGTTTTGAGCCAAGTAAAGATCAATCCTGTCCGTTGGCTGGCTGAGTATCCAACGGTGGCAATTCAGTCTGATAGTCAACAAGTATAAAAGCAGTGCAACAGTCTCTTCTCAAACAGTTGAACCAATTTTTCATATTTTTCTCTTTTCTCTGTAATACGAACTGCCTCCTTTAGGGTTTGGGTATTGGCTTGATCTTGAATCTTGTAACAGGGTGTTAAGTGGCTGGTTTGCAGGCCACTTAAGGGTGCTAGAGTTTGTAGTGTATCTTGGGTATTAGATCTGTATCTCTAGGTTGTTACAGGTTCTGTAAAGATTTGGGAAAGGGTTCAATTCTGTGGTTGAGTTGTGTTCTATAAACTTGATCAATATAGTGCAGCGAGCTCGTTGGTTTCCTGAGCTCAACATGGACGTAGCTTGCTCAAATCTGAGCAAGTGAACCATGTTAGATCTTGGTGTTATGTGTGTGATTCTGTTTTGTGTTGAGAGTTTTGTGTTTGCTTTCTTATTGATTTGTTGCGAGCAGGTATAACAGTGGTATCAGAGCCATTTCTTGGAGATTAGGGTTTTTTACGAAATTAGGGTTTTGCAAATTTGGGGTTTTTTTTTTTTTTTTGGCAAAATTAGGGTTTCGTGAAATTAGGGTTTCTGGAAATTGGGGGTTTTCGAATCTGTGATTCCTTTGAGTCTCCAATAGGATCTCGGGAGTCAAATCTTGGCTAAGTTTAAAGGTATATAGGCTGGAAACCAGAAACCGCCTTAAAAACTGCCTGGCAGTACTTGGCAACCTCTGGTATAACAACGTCGCGTACCTCTTAGTCCTTTCTTTCTTGCCGTTACAGAAAAATGAGTACTACTCATATGGAGATCTCCTAATATGATGGGAAGATCGATTTCTGGAGTTGGAAGAAGAAGATGAAAGCTCTCCTCTCACATAACAAGGTTGCGATCACACTGGAAGAAGACATCAAGAAGTGGCCGGAGGAAAAACTGACGAAGAAGGAGGAAGGTAATGAAGAAGCTTACAATCTGTTCATTCTGAATCTGTCAGATAGTGTCCTCAGAAAGGTAGATGGGATCGAATCACCACTGGAAATATGGGGTAAACTCAATACTTTGTATGCTTTACAATCTGCCCCAAATTTAGCTTTCTTGAAGGGCTCTTTATTTTCTTTCAAAATGGATAGTTCTAGGAGTATAGAGGACAATTTAGACGAATTCACTAAAATGATGCTTATCCTAAAAGGAACAGATCAAGAATTAGGAAGTACTAGCCTAGCTATGATCCTCTTGAACTCACTGCCTGAAGACTACCAAGTAGTCAAAAATGCGTTACAATACACTAGTACTGTACCAACCCTAGATCTAATAGTTGCAGGTCTTAAGGCTAGGGAGCTAGAGTTGAAAGTCCAGAAAAGGAGTGGGTCTAATCTGTTTATTAAAACCAAGGTGGAATCTAGTCAGATAGAGAGAAATAATTCTTGAATCAGGGGAATAGGAACAAGAAAAAGTGGAAGGGAAATAACAAGAGTAAAGAAACTAGAAAATGTTTTTTCTATAATAAGGCTGGCCATATTAAAAAGAACTGTTTTGAATGGATCAAGAAACAAAAACAAGGGAACACAGAGACAAACCTAGCCACCAGTACAAACCTAGTAGATGAACCTGAGGTGTTTATAGTGTCAATGTCTGACACTGCTAATGAGTGGGTATTGGACTCAGGATGCTTTTCCATATGAGTCCAAACAGAAACTGGTTCCAGGAGTTTGAGGATACTGATTCTGAAACAGTTTACATGGGGAACAATAATGCATGTAGGGTTAGAGGAATAGGCTCTATAACTCTAAGTCTTAACACAGGAAAATTAGTTAAACTCACAAGAGTCAGGTACATCCCAGAACTAAAAAGAAACCTGATATCACTAGGTACCCTAGATGAATCAGGCTGTAGTTATAAGGCAGAGGATGGAAGCCTGAACATATACAAAAATAGGAACCTTGTCCTGACAGGAGAGAAAAAGAATGGGCTTTACATTCTTTCTGGGAACATATCCTCGAACTGTTTGAACTTTGTGATTAATCCTGCCAACCTATCCAACACTGAAAAGTGGCACCTTAGACTAGGTCACATAAGCCAAAAAGGCATAGATACCCTGAACAATCAAGGTCAGTTTGGTAAGAATAAGATCTCTTCACTGGATTTCTGTGAAAATTGCATACTAGGAAAACAACATAGAAACAGTTTCCAAAAGGGGGTACACCAAGCCACTAGTCAACTTGAGTACATTCACTCTGACCTGTGGGGACCTGGGAGGATTAGAACCTATGGGGGAAACAGTTACTTTATGTCCCTAGTAGATGATTACAGTAGAAAGGTTTGGGTTTACCTATTGAAGACTAAGGATCAAGCCTTAGAAAAGTTTAGGGAATGGAAACTCTTAGTTGAAAATCAGATGAATAAGAGAGTTAAGGTTCTCAGAACAGATAATGGGTTAGAATACTGCAACCAAGAGTTTGATAAGTTTTGTAGGGATGAAGGAATTTTGAGGCATAGGACTGTGAAACACACCCCTCAACAGAATAGGGTGGCTAAAAGAATGAACAGAACCCTCTTGGATAAAGTGAGATGCATGCTTATCTCTTCTAAACTCCCCACCTCTTTTTAGGGAGAAGCCCTAACCACCTTTGCCTACCTAATAAACAGAAGCCCCTCCACTGCTATAAACCTAAAATGTCCAAAAGAGATGTGGACTGGAAGAAAACCTGATCTGGGACACTTGAGAGTTTTTGGCTATGCTGCATATGCACACACTGTTGGAGGAAAATTGGAACCAGGGTCAACAAAGTGTGTCTTTCTGGGATACCAAGAAGGAACAAAAGGGTACAGGCTGTGGGACAAGGAGTCCCCTAGGGTTAAAGTTGTAGTAAGCCGAGATGTGATCTTTAATGAGGGTATTTTTCCCTGTAAAAGTACTAACTCTGATGTAGGACCAAATCCAAGTGTAAGGGAGAGTTCGAGTCAGCCAGAGACTACACAAATTGAGGTGGAGGTTCCTGCCCAACCTCAACCACTGCAGGATTCTGAAACCATCCAGGAAACTGAAGCTATTCCTGAACCTAGAGGAGAAGCTGGACATTATGATCCAAAACAAGAGGATGAGACAGAAACAGTTGAAGATACTAAAACTCAGCCTGAAAACTTGCAAGATTACCAACTTCCAAGAGATAGGGCCAGGAAACAGGTAAGGATTCCCACAAGGTTTTCATATGCTGACCTCATTTACACTGCCCTTCTTGTAGGTACGAAATTACAGAGAATTGAACCAGAAACATATGAGGAAGCAATAAACCCTAAGGAAAGGGACAAATGGAGGGTTGCCATGGAAGCTGAGATGAAGTCTCTAAAGGTGAACAAAACCTGGGTACTTGTACCAAAGCCAAGAGGGCAGAAGGTAATCCAATGTAAGTGGCTGTTCAAATTGAAGGATGGAGTAACAACCAAAGAACCACTCAGGTATAAGGCTAGATTAGTAGCCAAAGGCTTCACCCAAAAAGAGGGAATAGACTTCAATGAAGTCTTTTCCCCAGTGGTTAAGTATAAAACAATTAGATTAATGCTCTCCTTAGTAGCTCAACTATATTTAGAACTTGAACAATTAGATGTGACTACTGCCTTCCTTCATGGGGATCTTGAGGAAGAGATCTATATGAACCAGCCTATAGGATTTATAGATCCAAAGAGCCCTGACCATATTTGCCTTCTTCTCAAGTCTTTATACGGCCTAAAACAATCCCCTAGGCAATGGTATAAAAGATTTGACACATTCATTGTGAGTATAGGTTTCACTCGGAGTAAATATGATAACTGCTTTTATTTTGTCCTAAGTGACAACCTGCCTGTGTACTTACTGTTGTATGTGGATGACATGCTAATAATTAGCGAGTCTAAATCCCTGATTTGTGAATTAAAGGAAAAATTAAGTGCTGAGTTCGAAATGAAAGATTTAGGAAATGCAAAGAAGATCCTAGGAATGCAAATTGACAGAAATAGGCACAAATGTGAGCTGAGAGTGCAACACTGTTCATATCTGCACAAACTTGTAGAAAAATTTGGAATGGCTGATGCAAAACCTGTTACAATCCCACTTGCCAGTCACTTCACACTGAGTAAATCACAATGCCTTAGAACTGAACCTGAAATGATTAGGATGGAACATATCCCCTATGCCAATGTTATAGGATCTCTTATGTATGCCATGATTAGCACAAGACCTGACTTAGCCTTTGTAATTTCCTTACTCAGTAGGTATATGTCTAACCCTAGTATGGATCACTGGATTGCTTTAAAATGGGTTCTGAAATATGTAAATGCTACCTTAAATGTTGGATTGCATTACTATAAAATAACTGCTTCACTTGAGTTGGTTGGGTTTGTAGATGCAGATTTTGCAGGTGACAGAGACACCAGGAAATCAACTACTGCATATTACTTTACTTTAGGAGGCAACTATATCAGCTGGAAGTCCCAATTACAGCCGATAGTTGCATTATCCACTACTGAAGCTGAATATGTGGTTGTTGTTGACATATTCAAAGAAGCTATCTAGCTAAAAGGAATTCTTAGTGAAGCCAAGTTAACAAATCAGAGGCATGTAATCTTTTCTGACAGTCAGAGTGCAATACATTTGAGTAAGAATCCAGTGTACCATGAATGTACCAAGCACATATATGTAAGATATCACTTT